ATGAATTACAAAATTATTTCCCATGTACACTGTCTTTGTTGGTACATCTTTTTGGTTTCCTGTCCAACGTCAAGACTGTGCAAAAATTCCGAGGGCTGAAACTCGAGTAACCTGGTTACTAAAACTCATCAATGCAAATTCTTAACATCGAAGCTTTGCCTAATCCATATAACTATATGCAGCGCACTGTGTTTTGCACGGATGATTCTTACTGTCCCACCACCCACTTACACTGTGGACACAAAGTGTGATTGATGGTGCAAAATTGCAAAATGGAGGACGAGAGAGAAAGTAACGAGGGGAGAAGAGAAGCGACAGGCCATTTCAAGCTTAAACAAAACAAGAACTCTGTACAGTGCAGATCTTGTAAAAACAAACTAGCCTATACCACAATAGCATGGCATCAATATTTCAGTGTCTCAGCACAAAGCAACTTGCCCACAAAGCCGACCCAACACAAGGTAAAGTTACTGTTAACATTTAAGGTAAATCAAGATAAGTGCTAGCTGAAATAAAAGCTTGCACTGGCTGAATTTGAGTCGTTACAGCTCCTGACTGAAGGTCTGTCTCTGGAGCTGGCTTCAGCTTTCTTCCCAGCGAAGTAGTCTCCGAGTGGCAGGGAGTGAGGTGGCCTGCTATTACTATGATTGTTACATTAATCTTTAATGTAGCAAAATTATTTCTTATTCAATTAATCGATGGGTAAATAGTTAAAATACTCGACTACTAAAATAACTGATAGGTGCAGGCAGCGTTAAAAATATCATTTATCAAAATAGTAAAATTTTAAATATATTCAAGCAGGGACTGCCTGTAAATGCTGTGTGAACAATCCCAGTCAACACAAGGATTGTTTAGGATTAGGATTTAGATTAAAACTAACCTAGATTTGGTTGTAAAGTTATATTTTTTACATGACTAGATTCCGTAAAATCATTGATTCATCAGCATTCAGATTAATGTGTTTACATCCAAAGCTGGTCTGAACTACATGTTGAAATTATGTTTAACAAACCAATTTTAGCCCAGTTGAAACACTGATTTTACCAGTGTTTAATGGTATATTTGAAGTGCTAAAACTTAATCACATAAGCAGGAAAAACAACTTGATAAAGTCAAAAAAAGTCACCAAAAACCAACAGTGTTCCTCGAGCCTTTGCTTTCCTCAGGTAGTGAAACAACTCAGAGTACATGCACTGAGGTGAGTGATGTTCTCAGCATGTCAGTGACCAAAGGAAATGAACTCTTGCTGCTACATGACATGAAACAGCACTTCCTTTGAAAAGGTCATCTCTTGGGTTAGAAGTACCAATTTGTTTCAGGTTTAATAAATCCAAAAGAGTGAGAGGCTTTTTTGACATCTCCAGAATGAGTGTGGCCTTGGATGTGAGTGTGTGACTTTCTTAACCGTGTATGTGTGTGTGAGAGAGTGTGTGGGTGTGAGTGTGAAGTAATCTGATCTGAAAGCAGGTAAATCCCATTTTACACACGAAACAAAGAAACTTACTGACGCCAATCTCTCTGTCGTTTTTTTTTGTTTTGCTCCTTTTTTTTCAGAGGAGGCGAAGAACCTGAAACGACAGACTTTATACGCAGTAACTCACTTTGGTGTACAGTACAGTATAGATTGAAGCAAGAAAAATCAATAGAATATCATCTAGAAAGATAGTAATGGATTTCTAACTTAATGGGCTCACACAGGTCTATCGATTAGCAGGATTAACATCTGCAATACCTCAACAATCTGATTTGCATTTAAATTACTGTGCGCTCAGTGCTGACACCAATATAACAAAACAGACAAACGTATAGCCAGCACAGCGGCACTCGATTTTGAGGTCTGACATTAGTATAAATCTTGTTTTCTAAAAAAAAGTAAGAAGTACGTGAAAGGAAAGTTGCTGTGCTGACAAACTTTGAGCAGTTTTGAATTAAGAAAAGAAAAAGTCTAGACAAGGACAAAAAAGAAAGAACATAAACACCGACAGACTCGGCTTGAAGCTGTCTCCCGTAAGACTGAAACAGCCATAACTCTTTTGGGGCAGCTCATCTGAGCCTCCTAGAGAGGAAGTGGGGCGGGTGTTTGTGGAGAAACAGTGTGTGTGTCTCTGTGTGTGTATATATGAAGGGGAGAGGAGGAGGAGGAGAAGAGGGGGGGTGCAGTGTGAGGTGAGATGTTGGGAGGGCAGCGAGGTGGGGTGGGAGTTTGATGGACTGCGCTGTCACCTCCCGCTCTGCGATTTACAGCAGCGGGGCTGCTGACGAGCGCGGGGCAGTAAACAGGCCGGCCGGGGGCGTATTTCACAGAGAGCTGGCTTTTATGAAGAACACCAGGACGGCTCTACCCACAGCTCCGCCCGGCCCGCCGTGACGGATGGAGAAAGACGCATGACAAGCTTCATCATTGTTTGTAAATCTTAACTGTTCCCGCTCACTAACTCCAGAAGGCAATTTTGCGGAGACAGCGGGGCCTGCAGAGGGGGAGGGCGGAGAGGGGGGGAGGAAGAGGAGGAGGAGGAGGCGAGGAGGGGAAAGGACAGCGTGGCACTCCTGAAGGTTATTTGGATCTCTGTATTTGGCCAACTGATTAGCCCTATCCTGGGAGGGAGATAAATCTGATGGGGCGCTGTTTGGCAGCTAGGTAGAAGGGGAGGGCAGGTAGGCTCACAGCTCACAGCTATTTCCTCCTCACGGATGATCCGGAGGTTCACAACATGTTCAGTCGCAGCAAAACAATTCAAGGATTAAAAGGAGATGTGGCTGAATTTTGATGTACTGAAGCAAATTATATCAACAACCAGGAGAATATTCTGTATATTAGCTTACTTTACTTAAGCAGTGTTGGTGATGTTGGTAAATTATGCTGCAATCTTTCATTATTAATCAATCTGCCCATTATACTGTGGAGTAATTGATTAGTCGTGAGTCTTTAAAATGTCATAAAATAGTGAAAATGGCAACCACAATTCCACAGACCCTAAAGTGACATCTTAAAATTACTTATTTTATCAAACCAAAAGTCCAGAACAGAGATAGATCGACAAGATTAATCAGTAACCATTCTGATAATTAATTAAAACAATATTTTAAGCCAAAATGCCAAAAAGGGCTGCTCCCTGTCTGCTCTGTTGGTACACTGAGAAAAATATCTGGTGTTCACACACAGCTCTGGCTCTGTAAATGGGAAACAAACATAGTGGCTCAGACTGGAGTGCTTGTGCACAGCACAGGGGAAAGTCCATGGATGTATACAGAGAAAGGCAGTGGGAGTGAGAGGGACAGTAAATGATGGGAGGGGTGGATTTGTTTGGGAATTGTTTCAACTCCAACTGAAAACAAAGCTCCAGGTCACTCTGGATAAGAGCAGCTAACAGCAACTGAGAGTACAGTAATTTAGACTTTAATAGTACAAAAATAAAAAGTAGATACAGTGCCATTTTGCAACCACACTGTGTTGATGCTTATAAACCCGTAGAGTGATTCAAACTCAGCTGATAAGATATGAATTAGCCTTGGAGCAATATCAAGGACACAGGCCAGGACATGCACACACACAAAACTGTACAGACAAGGGAACAGATCTGCTTCAAATGGTTCACACACAACAACTCAGACACGAAGGCTCTTACAAAGCAGGGTTTCTGTAACAGGGTTCATCTTCAGTCAGTGGAAGACACACACCGACGTACCGGATTTGGCACTGGTTGTACCAAGTGGGCATTAAATGTTTAGACTGACTCTTTGACAGCAAAAGGCTGAATCAAACCTCCAACAAACTTCCTCAAAGTCAAAATTGTTTTAAGGGAATTCCATCTTGAAATTCCCCCATATTTCCACTGCAGAAGAACTCTTGTTTTCTACTTTCCTCTACTGTGGCTGAAGTATTTGTCTTTCTCTTATGAAATACAGGATAGATTTACGCCATGTTCACACTGGACACAGAAGCATCCCAATATGTCAATTAGGGCTGCAACTAATGATTATTTTCAGTGTCGACTAATCTGTCGATTATTTCTTCGATTAGTCAACTAATCATTTTATCAAAAAATGTGTTAAAATGTGTTAAATATTGAAAAATGTCAGTCTGTCTCTCCAAAACCCCCAAATTATGTCATCTAATGTCTTGTTTCGTACTCACACCAATCAATGTCAATTGCTGTGCAGGCAGTTGCCTGGCTGTTCACACCAGAAGCTCATTTCTCCGTACCAGTAATCAAGCGAATTGTTTTCTAACCATATGTAGAACTTTCTCTGTCTGCTTGTGTGTGTGTGCTCATCTCTCTTGCTCTTTAGACACAACCGACAAATTAAATTATTTTAAATAAGTACTCCTGGGATGCACATTTTTTAATTTGTAAGAACAGATCATTTATAATATATACTACTCTTTATATTGTTTATGAAAGATTATCAGTATTTTCTTGCAAAATTTGCTTGTGGAAAAAACAGACCTGAAACTATCACTGCAGATCGTGAGTTGGCTGCACATCTCAGCACTGCTGGGCTTCCACTGTGAACAGCCTGATTTGTTAGCATGGACGCTGAGAGGAAGCAAGCAGCACTCACCAAAAATCGGCTGCTTCGTGGTGCTTCCATACCCAGTGTGAACCTGACATTATGCCTTAATGACTTCAAGTATTTTAATGATGACCAATGAAGATGTGGTAGTTGGCATTACCTGTATCCATTCATGTACTGTAAACATGTAGCAAAGTTAAATACAGTTTAAAGTGAATACATATGTAGGTTGCACATTTCAAAATGCATCCCTCAGTGTCTCAAAGTGTCTGTTTATTACTACAGACAAGGGCAGTGTCTTTGATGTTGCTTTTTCCAAAAAATAAAGAAAAGCATTTAACCTTCGACGAGGTGCTGCAAGTAGATACCGCTCACAAGTAAGGGGTCACAAGCCAGACAAAAAATGGTTGTAAAAACTACTGATTTTGATGGTTTATGTCTCTAGTGTTAAGAGTCTGAGTCGACACCAAATGTGGGACCACCTGCTGAGAGTGTTGTTCTCTTGTAATGGAGCATGGAGATTCAGTGCAGGAGGCTGACGTGGGACCCTCACAGGAAACAGACAGGTGAAAGTCATAAACAAATACAGGTACAAAAGAAAGATGGGGGGGTCTTTAGGTTTGTGATGCTGGTGGTGTGAGCAGTCTATTTTCACTATAAGAAGGATGTTGACGTTGTGCTAATGACGCTCTTCCCCTATGTCCTTTATAAACAAGTAATAATATACAATACCACGATTGTTCAACAAGTCAACTTCATCTGTTAATTCCTGCAAAAAATGACCTTTTTTATTCTAGTCACACGCATTGTTCTGGGTGGTGAGATCACTATTAAAACTGCTGTATTTTTATACACCAAAGCAACATCAAAACATTGACATCAGACCATCCAGAAGTCTAAGACCTTGGGGCTTAAAATAAGTTCCTTCCTAAACAGATTGAGAGCAGGATAGTAAGCAGTAACTTCCATCAGAAGGCTGCACAGACAAAGAATGAACAGAACCTACAGACTTTCTAAACTTAACCTCCTGCAACCCTGCGTCCTCATCTGAGGACATCGTATTTTGGGATTTCTGCACCTTATACTTCATTCTGCTTAACTTAGACCTGTCTGTGCACACTTGTATGTGCCATCTACTGGTAGCAAGAACACAATACACAACAAGATGGCAGCCATCTTTGCCAAGTCAGTCTGCAGCCGATCCCGACACAAAAGTGGACAAGGTACAAAACCTGATCATGTTTTAAGGTTGAGACTTGTTTATTTATGCCTAATAAAGTTTGCAGTTTGATTTGGCATCCACATTTGACCAATTTTAGCAACAGCAACAAGCTAAGACAAATCTTATTAGAAAGTACTTGTTTGTGTACTTTGGGACTTTATGGTTGTATTATCGCTGCATTGCACACAGGCCAATTAGGTGCGACCGACTGTCCCTACAGACAAAAAGGACATTCATAGCTTGGAGTATGGAGCAGGGAAAATTCATACAGAGTTACAAAACATATCCCAAGACTTTAAGATATGTTGCATCATTTGCAATTCTGCTTTTGCACAGCCATGTTCAGGCACTGAAATAAAAACTTTTGAACACTTTTAGACTTGAACGTGACCCCTTACCCATAGAGTTATGACACATTGAACAAACGCTGCACTGTTTGTAATTCTGTTTTGCACAACAATTTCCAGGCATTAAAATTTAAAAATATATACTTTATTACGCACTTCTGACTTTTAAAAATAAACCCAATGTCCCCATATGACAAAACTACTTGCTGTTCAAAGACAACTTAGTTTGTCTTGTCAAACAACTAGTTATCAAAGCGATTACCAAACAGTGCTGCAACCCTCACATGACCATGTGAGATCCCTCTATAGCTACATGCTACTACTATGAATGTATCCGCAATATGTCATTAATCATTTGGGAAACAGGACGCCACCATTTGAGATCTGTATTCGCAAAATGCACCGAAGACAGAAAGATAAAGTGTCTCGCACAATTACAATTTAAAAATTATTTATCTCCCTGAGGTGCTCTACAAAAAGTTTTTAATTCCCTGTAATGCTCAGGTCGAACTGGCACGCCAATCAGCCCAGTATCCTTCTCTGCATTGTGCTGGATCTTCCCACTTATCTCACTCTTATCATTGACTTGCACGCATTCCTTGCAAAGGTCTGCAAATACTTTTCTGAACATTAAGCAATACGCACAATCTGATTTACCCACATTCACAGAAAGGCATGAGAAAAGGCAGAAAGTCCAGGCAGCTATGCTCAGCTGAGATTCCCATCTGAGATTGGGGGAGTAGAGTTGCCAGAAATCAGAGATCAGATCTGCTTCATCTTTAAACACGACGAAATGAAACAGAGCTGCGCTGTCAGGTCTTTGATAGGTTTGTGGTTGTTTTAAAGTTGATTAGCTTCTCTGTGACAACTGCGAATTATAGACAAAAGATGTGTGTTTTTAATTTCTATGAGCGACTGTAAATGAGAAGTGGTTGAGGCTGAATAGCTGAGCATAATGCTGATCAACTTCTGTCATCTTTAAACAGAAAAGATAACAGTAAGGTGAGTGCAAGCAGTCAACTTTGTACTTTTTATTCCTTTGGTAAAGTCGTGAAAATTCACAGTTGTGTATTTGAAGTAAAGTAAAAGGCAAGTATAGTAAAAGTAAAAAAGCTTCACTTTAGACTAATTTCATCTTATAAAGTTTATGGCACTCTTGACTTGAGTGCAATCCTCCCTTGAATGTACTTAACCACACTGTTGATAAAGTCTGGGTAAAACTTTATGGGGCCTGAGAAGTGTGTGTGTGTGTGTGTGTGTGTGTGTGTGTGTGTGTGTGTGTGTGTGTGTGTGTGTGTCACTCACAGGCTGCCATGGTCTCAGAGCAGTTGTTGTTATCATCCAGGCCATAGAGGGGCGGCACACAGGTGGTGGCACCCAGGCCCTGAGTCAGGTAGGTGGCTGCTGGGTAGTAGGAATGCACACGGTACTGAGAGGGCATGTTGTGGTTTGAAATGCGGCCATCACCATGAGGCATCTGCTTTATATAAGACAATACACAAAAAAGGTAATTTTAGACAAAGAGGAGAAATCTTAATATGCTGTATTTCATATCATCAGTTTCCTGGAGATTTCACATCCCAAAACGTTTCAACAACAACCTTCTCAAATCCACCAAAGACTTTTGTTGGGTTTTGGTGAGTCTATGATTGCATGTTTTAGGAATGAAACTATAATCTGACTGCAACTAACAATTATTTTCTTTATCAATCAATCAATTTAGAGATCTAACCAGCCTGGAATACCATATAAACTGTCCCAAAGTAAATTCTGGCCGTCCCAATTATAAAATGACTGTTTTTATACTATAAAATTACTTGCAAAATTTAAAGTGACATGGAAATGATAAAATTATGAAGTAATACACACAACCTCATCAACAATTAATGTCATGGTTTAATTGCAAGTGGATTTTTCTTGGCTGGGTTCTAGCTTCAGTCCTGCAATTGTCCTAATTACTTATTTTTATTTTATCTTTATCGTCCCTGATCATTTTTCTTTCATTCCCAGGAACCTTAAGGTAAAGCCATGTAATTGTTAAGCATCTAAAAAGTCAGAAAATAGTGAAGAAAGTCCATTATGATTTCCTAAATCCCAAGGTTTTGTCCAACAAAATGCCCAGAATCCAAAAAATCTTAAATCTAATATGACACATTGACCATTAATTTTCCAGTAACCATCTAATCAACTAACTGTTTCAGCTCTAATGGAATATTTTCTTATCTGAGTTCATGACAAAATTCCTTTGTTTGCCATAAAACCTATTCTGCTGTATGATCATGTGCTGGTCGTGTGTGTCATACAGTGTCATATGAGGTGATACCCGTAATCACGAGGAGCTACAAAAATAATCACAGCAGAGGGAAATATGAAGAAAAGAGCAAAGATAAGCAATCAACCAGGACCAGTTTAAATATTCCTAACACTGGCATCATCTTTTCAAATTAAAAATTAGCTGTTTTAGTGATATACTTCTTCAATGTCTATGGTGGCTGCAATTTTTGCTTCAGCTCTGATGGCATTTCAAGGTGAACAGCTGATTAAGTTGAGTGACAAATGCTGGAGCAGAAATGTTGCACATTCAGGCTTTAATAAGTCTTTGCTGGCAGTCATTCTCTAGTTGTTATAGAAGCTACAATTTATTCTCTTCAAGGTGAAATCACAAACAAAACAAGTTACAACTCCTGCATTGGGTTTATGACATCATATGTTATTATGTCCTTGAAGTTATTTTTAGAAGCAAATTAGGACATTTAAATTAAATACTGTTTATTTCTTCCTTTCTTCTTTCTTCCTAACAACACCAGCAGATGTACTAATTAATTCTCTGATTGTTTTTTCCTTTTCTACGTTTTAATTTTCAAATACAATATAAACATCATTGTCCGATGACACCATTCACATATGTTTGCCTGTGCAATCCCCCAAATCAGCTATCAGATATTCACAGGCAACACCTGAACAATCTAATCTTCCAGGTGGAAATATGGAGATAAAATAATATATGACAGAGAATTAGTAGTGTTTGAGTTCACACGTCCGTGGCTTGTTCTAAAAATGGGCTGCAACATGCCACGCTGGCTTTCTCCAGTCCTCTGAAAACTTTAAAACGAGCTGTCTACTCAGCAGCAAGGCCGCCTCACGGAGGGTTTTCAATTTCACTTTTATGGAATTTGATTTCTGTCAGCCTGTAATATGTCACCCGTATTGTCCACACCATCAATTCTCCGACAGCTTTATAAACTGTTATTTAAGCTACACTCAGCTCTTGTATTAGGCCGTGAAAAATACAATAGAGATTGGACTGGAGTCTGAAAGTGCACTGAGCTTACGGTTTGCAGGACACATACAGCACCAAACAAAACTGTCTTAGTGAAAGTTGCTTTACAGAAAAGGCAAATTTTGTTGTGTCGTGCTTAGAGATAAGGTTTACATCGGTGGTCATGTACAGGCAGATCCACATAGAGTAACTTGCTTGAACTGTCAATGTGATGCCAAATATACATAAACCTTTTTCTGGTGGGGTGGGGCTGAATACTATTTTCACTAAAGTTTGTAGCCTTAAACTAACAGAAATCTGCGGAGTAATCTAACCAGTCAATCCATGGTCATTGTGTCAGATTAGCCAATTACAGAGTCCTGAATTCTTGATGTGACAGACTATTGGTTCGTCCATGACCAATCATAGCTAACTGCCTTTCACGACCTATGTGATTACATCGTGTAGTGTTTGGGATTGATTTCGGGAACAAGAATATAAACAAACAATGGCATCTGACGCAAACTGGTTTGTATTGTTCAATGTCAAGAGGCATCCATATACAGTATGGGGAGTTGGTTGTTGTCCTCTACAATTCACAACATATACTCTGAACCCACCATACAGTTGTGGACTTAAGGTTAAACTTTATTCATCATGTCTGTAACTGTTCATGTATTAGTCCAGATTCATTCAGTACAAGACGTTTCATTGAGTACGTGACTTTGGATATGCCAAGTGATACATCAAATACAGGTTGTTCTGAGATGTTTGAATGGCTGTTTCTGATATTATTGTACCGACTTTTTCCTTTTTTTCCTGTACAAGCCCATCTCCAGACAAGAGTTAGATCTACCAATCGCCTTGCTTGACACTCAGGCCACATCCACACTTTTTTTTTAAATTTAAAACTGCATTTTAAAATGCAAAACAATCTCCATACACGAGCATTTTAGCACAGTTTCAGAAATAATCTTTGTCCATACGAACAAGCCTGAAAACACATATCACATGACCATTTACATACATTAGGCATGTGCATGCTGGTGTAAACAGAAAGCGGCTATCTCATTTATAAACATTGCGTCCGCACAAAACGAGGCCTGAAAGAGGTGTACACCACTTCCCACACAATAGTTGTGATGTATAAAAACAGACTTGATTGGGGCGTCAGTAGCTTAGTGGATAGTGCCGGCGCCCCATTTATAGAGACGATGCCTCGCTGCAGCGGTCACAAGTTCGACTCCGGCTTGCAACTCTTTGCTGCATGTCATCCCCCCACTCTCTCTCTCCCCACCTCACATTCTTCACTCTGTCCTGTCCATTAAAGGCAAACACGGCAACGCAGATGGTGAGGTGGAAGCCTGCTTGTAGAAACTGTTGAATATTTTTTGGCGCACACCATTTTTGGCTTTTGTTCATATGTACATTTTTAGTATCCTACGCATTGTTTCATAAAATGGGACCCCAGATCATCAACGCAGCTAAAAATTCTACGGAGATGGTGACAATTAAGACCGGATATTTCTTTGCTTGGACCAATGACGAGGTGGAACTGCTAATGAGAGTAACACATGAGCATATGGCGGTCAATGGGGTGAAAAACAGACTGGAAGTCACTGCAAAACAAATATGGCTCAATATTAAAGCAGTACCGAAGGCGTTATCCATCACCGGAAAAAGCTATAGCAATGGGAAAGGAGTTTCCACGCAAGAAGGATGAAATCACAAAAGGTATCGCTCTAATGTTTTGACTTGACTCATCGAGACTGACAAGACCCAATTGGGACGCAAACATGGATACCTGTGTCATAGTTTTCAGGGGTCTATTTCTACCCGTCTAGACTACAACGCAACCCTGGAGATGTCAAACGAATAAGGGGATCAACAGCGTTTTCAAAGGCCTACGTTTTAAGGGTTCCAAAAGCTGGAGTATTGTGGATGCATTATGCATTATAAAACAAAAAAGTATTAGTTTGGATGTAACCTTAGGTCTAAACAACGTACTGTATTGTTGAGATCTAGGATGTGTTCGTGTCAACTGCAACACCTAATCCTACAGATAGACTCAGGTTTTAAGGTTACGAGGAATGCAAATGAGAAGTCAAAGCCAGAAGACCCTCTCATACTATTCTCTATTTGGGTGGGTCACATTTTTTTTCTTCAGTAAATTATAGCAACACTGAACAAGTCAGGTAACATTTATCTGAGAAAATACCTCTAAAGTGAGTCTATTACTACCACTCTCCTCTCTGTGTTCAAGCAGCCAAAGGCCAAACCAATAACCAGCTCCCTGGGAGTGTTTATCACTTCAGATATGCTACAATACTCAGTGAGACTCAGAGAATATGGGATTTAAACATAACATCGTTTCAGTGCTTGAACTCCACAATAATGTTGGTCTGTGTGTGGCATCGTTCTATTGACATATTGCCTTTTGCTTTCTTTTAGATTACTTCTCGACCATATACAACTGATCGAGTGCCTTCATTTTTACACCATGAACGGCCTGCGAGCCACTGTTAGTGGGTTTCAAAAATAAATGAAAAGGAAATTCAATCCTATGTTTCCCCCACTGTACCAATAGCATAATTAACAGTGACCCCACGAAAAAGTTGAACCATAAATTTTGTGTACTGTTACACAAGAGGTATCAGCAGATTTGGTGGAAAAGGCAGACACAGTGAATCTGATGGCATATCAGCATTTTAGGAATTTTGTTTTAGTTTCTCCATTGAGATTAACTCTATAAGCGTTCTGCACAAGCAACACTGCACACTCTATCTGTCACTATCATAGATGACCTGATGATAACTTGATAAAAAAAAGTTAATTTCTAAATGCAGTTTCATGGCACAGAGCATTAGTAGGTAAACAAATCGATAGACACGTATGTACTGCAATGGCCTTGCCACCCATCCACAGTCCTTCCAAACTCACTGGCTAACTTGCTGACTCCTGGGGGGGCTTTCCTCCTTACCTCCCTGACAGAGCCTGTCTTCTTATCTGGCACCATCTCCTGTCTGGAAGCTCTACACCACCCTTATATTATCATCATCCACCTGCATGACAGCCAAGCACCACTGAGTGCACAGGAGAGGAGGTAGATGGCCTTACACTGATAAAGACCACAGTGTTTCCTTGTGGGTTTGGATTTAGTAGCGGGAAAAGCTCAAGACCTAGAGATCACCATATTATGACAATTACTGTTGTTAAGATTTGCTTGATTGGTGATGATTTAAAGGAAATTTATATTTAAGAAGAAGTTAACTGCTGGAAAGATAGTCTTTTCATAAAACTGGGCTGTCTATACATTAGAAAGAACTTTTGAAATTGGTGGTACATGACCAGAGAAAATAAAGGAAAGGGCTGTGGCATATGCTTTTGTTCAAGAGGTAGAAAACTTACAGCTATCAGAATGCACTGCACCAGACCAATAAATGCTCCCACTGGTGGGTAATATAATGCAGTCTTGGCTGTTATTCCATAGGAAACATTATGGCGGCAAGCTGATAACAACCAATCTCAAATAACAGCCAAACAGTGCACTAAAATTGGTTTTGAAGACATTTAGGCAAACAAATAGGCAACACAGTAACAGAATCTTGGTTTCTAGTTGATCGGTGTTGCCTAGTTATACCATTTGATCACAGTTTGATCTGCATTTGGGAGAGAGAAAAAAAGATCCACTTCTAAACACTTTAAGTCTGTGGTGGTGGACATACGAAAATGTGGAATTATAATCTGTAGTACAAGCAAAAGCCGTAGGATCAGCAAAGATCAATAAGTGAATGAAAATGACTAAGATGGAGGGGAGTTCACACCGCAGTTCATTTACAAATACTACCCACATTGTAATGACAAAACTAGTTGAAAATCTGCAAAGTATTCTTTTAATTTTAATGACATTTACACATTAACAGTTTCTTAAATGTTGGTAGAAAAAAAGAAACTACTAGCCTAAACCTAAACAATGTAGTTACAAATTGTCTAGTAGGTGGTAACACAACTTGATTGACCATGAAACAACACATTTTAGATCGTCGTCAGTGTAATGTTGTAGTGTTGTACTGCATATGGACCTAATTTTTATGCATATTAACTATTTACACTGTGGTATTTACGTCAACAAAGTAGCTAACTAACTTGCAAGTAACTCACTAACCAACCAACCAACTAACTAGTAAGTGTGGCTCAGAGGTAGAGCAGGTTGTCCTGTAATCAGAGGGTCAGCAATTCAATCCCCAGCTTCTCCAGTCTGCATGTCAAAGTATACTTGGGGAAGATACTGAACCCCAAATTGCTCCCTATGGCTGTTCCATCAGTGTGTGGTTGTGTATGAATGGTTAACTGAGTGGCAGGTGGCACTGTGCATGGTAGCTTGGTCACCAGTGTGTGCATGTGTGTGTGTGTGAATGGGTGATTGTGACATTGAGGTTTGAGTGGTTGAAAGACTTGACAGGCGCTATACAAGTGCAGTGCATTTACCATTTATCAGTAGAATAAAGAATATAATTGCAAGACAATGGTAATTTGGAGATGCACTTGCAATAAAATGTAAAACTAGATAAAACTGTTCAGTAAAGCCGTATCAAATTTATATAAATAAACATCCATTATGGCACTCTCTATTGTAAAGTGATGTAACACAACAGTTCAACTTGTCATTAATATTCATTAAAAACAGCTGTGTATGAGGCTCTTCTAGAGTGAAACAACTACAATGCTGTAGGTGAAAACTGACATTTAAATAATTAAATTTGTTTTATTTATGTACTTTTTAACAAGATGCAAAGTACACCTTCACTGGATGCTATAGTGGAAAAAAGAAACTAACTCAATGAACAGAAAGTCAATGAGAAAAGATGTCACAGACCCACAAAGTGCTGTCTGGATGGTGCTGAGAGACCACAGCAGTAAGTGCTTCAACAGCGAATATGGAGACAAAATTTAAAATTGAGTAACTCAAGGATAATCACTTAAGTTGGCGATGCTAAAACTGGAGTATAGCCCATTAAACTGTGGAGGTTTAGGACAGGTAAAGGAGACAGAGGAGACACAAGAGAAAAGCTTCTGATAAATAAATATGATAATTATTCTAATTCAGGTAATAAAAAACTAAGGTTATCTGCTTATTTTATTTCTAAGTAAATATTAAATCATTTTCTAGTTACAAATTATGCAACTGTGTGTTTGTGGCAACTCATCTTCAAAAAATCAGCTCTTAATGCAAATATAAAAAGAAGTAGTCCCTGAATTTGAATAACCATAGCACGTAGCCCTCTCAACCTGACAACTTCACTAAAAATATCATAAATCACAAAGCAGGATGGGTAAATTATGCTAAAGAGTGCTAACTGATTAGCATTAATGTGCTCACTTTCTCCTTCGAGCGCTGAGGCATAGCGGTTTGTTCCTCTGCCGACAGACAATACCATTAACCTTTGCAATTCAGGCTCTGCTGTGCGCTGCCAGGTTAGCGGAGGCAGTGACCCCAAAACTAGATGTTGCTATTGGGGGAACGGGGAGGGGGCGGAGAGAGGGTGAGCAGGGGTGGACAAATGTTGTTCATAAAAAACAAAACCACCTCATCTGAGATCACTGGAGAGTTATAGATCTAATTTGCTTCACGCACAAGCTCATCTCATTTGACACAATAGAGATACATTTAAGCATAAATCAGTGTGAATATACAGATGGGTGAATGAGGTAGGATACCAAGTGTGTGTGTGTGTGTGTGTGTGTGTTGGTGGGATGTTAGGTACTATCTCCCCGATGTGTCTCCACGTTATGCCGTACGTGTCGACATTAAAGCAGACACTCTCATCCATCTCGAAGGAAAACAAAGAAATAAAAACTTTATATAAATCATTACCAGATCTAAAGAAAATTAATTTCTCACGCCCACAAGCTTGCCTACGCAGTTACATGACTGTCATATCAACATGGTGCTTCCTCCCTTTTTTTTTTTTAGAAAATAAAATGTCCTTTTTTTCTGTATTCTGTAAGTCTTATTGTCTGTGTCAGGACATATGACTTTTATTGCTGTAGAAACAATTACTAAATTAATTAATTTGACAAGATGATTTTCTCTGTTTATATATTTTATATTTCAAGCATATGATAGGTGTTTTTTAGTTTTTTTTCTGAGAACTTGTGATGGGTAAACAATTCATATATTAATCAAAAAATACAGACTAATTTATAATTGTTACTTGTTACTCTAGCTGTGTTTAAATCCTCTATTTTGTATTTTTGCCTTCATCTGATAGTTGACAGCAGAGATAGAAAGAGGGAGGGGGCGAGAGTGCAACAAAAGTTACCAGCTGGAATCAAACCAGTGACGTCGCCATTATGGTATGTAGTTAGACTTATAGTTCACTAGGAGGCCAATCCTTTTAACTAAGTTTTAATTTAAGAAGTATTTTCAAGGTAATTTTAGCTTATGGCTAAATGTGGTTCAATGATGAGACTAAACTGGTATGAACTCTCCTAATCATTCAACACCTGTCATAAGAGACTACTTAAGTCAGTGTAGTAGTTATATAGTAGATATTTACCAGCCCAATCGTCAGAGAAAATGTTCACATTGAATGTTTCTGGAAACATTTGTACATTATTTTGTAGCAGATATGTTGAAACCCTACATTTCTCAACTGCTGTGGTGAAGGTGCAAAAACCACTTGGTTATGGTCAGGAGAAAGATCATGTTTCAGCATAAAACACCCACATTTGGTGACACAAAAGCCACTAGAAAAGAAGAGATGGGTCGGTAATATACACCCAGGTTCATTGGCTCAGATGCCACTGGGTAACAGCAATGTGTCAGTAAAAAACAATCGGTTACATGGTTAAAATGCTGCTGGGAAATGCTGCAATGTGCCACTGAAAACACCAGGCTCGGTGCCACAAACACTGGTAGAAACGCAGTGAAGGGTCACCGAAAGACAACCAGTGTTGTTGTTTGTTGGTCTCAAACAGTCTGCAGCTTGGCAGGTGTCTCACCTAGGTGACAAGCCATCCACTATCCCATCCGCCTCCCTCCTACACAGTCAGCTCCTATATTTCTTCACTTTGAAAACGTTGATATGACATGCATAAAACATATAAACGTAACATTTTCTCCTGGTGACAGGGTTGTATTTTCACTACAGCTGCAATCCTTTACTTCTTAGAGGTGAGCACCTTGCCATGGACACCTTGGCCTTCATTGCTGGGGCAGATGATGCCCAGATGTTCAATACAGGTTCATGTAGTGGCACTACTTTGTGTTTTGGGGAGCTCTGATAGAAAGACTATCAGCTTAAATAGGAGAATGTTGAAATAATTTTCGAGGAGAACACAAGATTTTCTAGGACATTTAGGTTTTCTCTCATTAACCTGGACTGGAAAATTGTCCTGTTTGGGGTCAAACTGGATTGATATCTGCCTTTTATTAAATGTCAAATTATGATGAGAGGTTCCTTACTGACCACAGCTGTGGAAAACAGGATGGAGAAGTTGCAGAAAAGCAGCATTTGCTTTCTGTTTATCTTACATTTTCAGGTAAATGCTCAATAATATTTTTGTAAATATTTTTTTGCAATCTTGTATGCTGGTTTCAGATGAGATTTCTTGTCTCAAAATGGTCTGCTTCAGCAGCTTTTCCACCATGATAACAATAAAGTTATACTTAAAGTAAAAATATCCCATGCAGGTTACATACAGAGACATGAATGTGATATAATGACTTTGAAAAAACACAATTTAGCTCTAGCTGCAGGTCAAATTTGAAGTAACAAGACACATAAATAAGATTTTGAATTGTAATTAAGGCACAGAAACATGCACATACATTTCCCCTGCAGTGCTCACCAAGCAGTTGAAAGCAGTAGCACAAAAACCCTCCCTTGAAGCAAGTTAAACAAACATCGCAGGTAACCAACACGAAATACTTACTCTGAGCCTTTAAATAAACGCTTCAGTCGAGTTTGACTGTTTATGATAAACAGCAGAGTGGTTATAGTTAGTCACCTGGTACTGCTGGTAGTTGTACAGATTGCAATAGTAGGTGGGGTAGCGAGACGGCTGGTAGAAGTTGTAATAGGAAGTTTCCAACAGCAGGTCTGACTGTGCGTCAGTATGAGCCCGGGCACCGGCCGACGGGCTGGGGGACAATGCCGAGCGACTCCCTGGACAAACACACACACAGGGGAGACAACAAATAAGACAAAGATTGTCTCAGAGGCTTAAGTATGTCGTATTTTCAGATTATTATTATTAGAAATTTGGATCTGAGGATTACATTTATGCACTAGTTTTAGTTGTTTTTGTAGAGCTAACCCTGTTTTATGAATTATGTCTCCAACAGCAGAGCTCAAGCTTACTTTATGGTTTTTATTTGCCCAGCTGAGTCTTGACAACCAATTAATTAATAATAAAAACAATGTTAAACGATGACATTGACTCAATACAGATCAGGCTTGTAGTTGATCTTTTGACCAATCATTTAACAGGAACATAAGACATTTTACTTGAACTTTACAAGATGTTTCCAGTCATTCCAGCCCGAGCTCAAATTATTATCAACAGCACCATCTGCAGGTGACAGGTGGTTTTGATGCCAAATGAGTGGCCCAACACAACACAATACAGCATCACAATACAGAAATGTGGGTTGCCGTATCAGGATGAATGTGACCATCATCATCATCATCATCATCATCATTTCTCATTATCTGTTGTTCTTTCCTTATCAACAAGGCCACATTCTTCTCAGGCAGACCCTGATCTTTCGGTCTTACACAATGAAAACACTGTGCACCACTGGAGCCAGAGATAATGACATTTGTTGTCCTTGTTCTGATTCTTGTCATCAGTGAAACACAGAGTGCTCGACTCCTTTTTCCACCTCAGTCTTTGCTCTCTGTTGCCAAGCCAGAGCACCAAAGTTCACTCTCACATGAAGACAAAGCAGAAGACATGAGCAGCCTTGACCACAGTCATATTCCACCTCCTGAGGTTTGCTATCAGGCCGACAGGGAACACGATATCTTGTCTGCCTCCACACTACCGCCAAGAGAGACGTCAAAGATCTCCTTTCATGCTGCTGCCACCAAGATCTATTTTAATTTTCACTCAAATTTCCCATTAAATTGTCTCGTATTGATGGGATCTATGAAAATATTCTTGACCCCTTCACGTTTGCATGTTTCATTGTGGACTCAGTCCTGTCTTTTTTTTCCAGGCGGGTTTGTCTGCGTTCTTTTCCGTGTTTTTCAAATGGAAACTCCCACTCAGCCATCAGCGAAAAAGCCGTGACGTAGGTTACAGCGCTGAAGCCCTCCCCTCCCTCACCCGTCCACGCATGCAGTTCACTGACAGCGTAAGTATGTAGTGAGAAAAGTGTTGGTGTGGAAGATCTGAGCTTGAGGGTGGAAGATGGTGCTATCTTTATTATTATTAAACCTTTATTCAGCAAGGTGGAGACATACTGAGATTCAACATGGTACTGCATTTGTACTGTATAAACATGATAGATCCGTAGTCAGTGTATTACATCTTTTCTTGACAAATTAAATAACCATCAAAAGAACTGATAAAAATAATCTTCTGAATTTCAAAACCTTTCATCCCACTACTCTAAGAAGTGTAGATAAGTCAATTTCATAGATTCAATAGAAGATTTGTAGTTGTTCATAAAGACAATTAATGGAAAAAGTGAAATTATACAACAAACTTTTAAAGACTAGCTTCTGAAGTGGATCCGAAAGCAAGTTTCAAGTCAGCTGCTGACCAGGTTTTTCAAAGACTATAAAAAAGGGGGAACATTTATCTGCCACATTCTGTGAAATCTATGTTAACATGCACCAAACTCAAGTGATAAAATCCACAATACTGCTATGAATATCCACAGTACATTTAATCAGAAAACAGTGCGTTCTGTCAGTTGACATTACACACAGCCACAGACAGTGTCACTTCACTTCTCTTCATTTTAATCTTCAACAGTAAAATTTCAGCATAACCTTCAGCATGACCTCTTTCCTATTCTGTCAACTCATCTTCAAAACAGCATTTTACCACTTCAGCTGTGTTTCCATGCTGAATATATCAATGTGAATGTCCCCTAATGATTTTTACATACTTCACAGCTGTCAGTTACATTTGTCACGCAACACACAAAAAGCAGAACAGTAAGTGAATATCATTTGGTGATACCTCACCTGTGACAGCAAAAGAAGAAGTGGAGGTGCTGGTGGGCGTCGGGGATCGTCTCTCCACAGTAAACAAGCAGTCTACTCCAGCTTCATTCTTCACCATCACCTCAGGGCCAGGCAGAGCCACAGGACTACAAATCCCAAGCTCCTCTTCCTGAGCCTGCTGCCGTCTCAGGGCGACCTGGAGGGGAGGAAAGGAAATAAAGACAAAACTTTAGCCTTATCTTCTTATGACTTTGCAAAACAGACTCAAAGATAATGCTACATAATAATGATAATAATAATAATTAGTAAATTATTACCGATAATTTTTCAGCTTTTTCTTTTGGTTGTCTTGTGCACTATGCTGACTATGTGTTATAATCTTAATGTTGTTTATTGTTATCTTACTTGCAAAGCAAAGCAATATTAAATAGATAGGAGTTCTTGTCATGTTATTGCTGTGTCAACCAAATACAACACTGCAAATGAAAATAATTCATTACAGATGTGAAAATAAATACATTACACGTGAGAGAAGTCATAAAATACTTGTTTGAACTTCACAGTAATACCAACACAAGACATCAATATAAAAATTCTACTTCATGCTGTACAGGTTGTAAAGCTCCTTGAGACAAAGTTGTAATAAAATGTGCTACTAATAATAATTACTTGATTTGTCTTACTTTACTAATGCTACCAATGCACAGTTAATGACAAGTGCTGGTTTGTGGCTACTTACAGTTAAAGTTAGATCATCTAGAGCTGAAACTATTACTCAGTTCGACAGAAAATTTATTAGCAAGTATTGCAAGTGTTTAACACCACATTTCAAGCAATAAATAATTTTCTGTTTTTACATACTTTATATCACTGCACAGTGAAACTGGGGCTTGGGACGACACAAGCAATATTGGGCTCTGGGAAATTGTGCATTTTTCTAGACCAAAAAATTACATGTAGATGAGAAGATAATTAAAATGAGCCATATAATAAAACCCCAATTAGACCCTTGATGAAGTTATTTTTCAGGTAAATATTTGTTTGCTATGCAACAGGTGTGACTTGGCTGCTGTCAAATGTACATTTGGATAAAGAAATCTGAGCATGTATCAATAAATGTATATATTATTAGTTCAACTTACTTAATTTTAAAGAATTAAATTTCTGTTTTTAACTATTTTTTGACAACACAAGCAATTTAAATATAAAATTGAGCTCTGAAAATAAATTGTGCATTCTTCTAGACCAAATGATTAAGAAAAACATGTAGATGAAAGTATAATGAAAATAATCCATATATTCAAGCCCTAATTAGACCCTTGATTAAATCATTTTTTAGATGAATATTTGTTTAAATTTATGCAACAGCTGCTGTCAAATTTACATTGGGATAAATAAATCTGTACATATATATATATAAACATTAAATTTGTGCTACTTTCTTAATCATAAAACATGACTATCAATGAATCTTTCCCCAAAAAGACTTTTAAAAACCCTAAAATGTTACTTGAAGCTACAAACTACAAAGTTACAAAGTAAATGACCACAAAATATAGAAAATGTAGCTGGTGTAATGATATATAATGTTACTGTAGCCTACCTGTCAATTGTTTTATTTATAAACTGTGTGCTGTGAGCAACAAGTGTAACAACACACTCATAAAACATCCTTGAAAACACACAGTAACAGTTTATAAATATCTGTAAACTAGCTTTGTGTACATTAAGCTAACTAGCTAGCTAGCTTGATTTTGGATTAATGAGTTAGTGGCCTTGCACAAAAGAAAATTAGGGAACTTATCCAAAAGTACACAAACACAAAAAAATATATTATTGTAAACAATTAAACGCCGTATTTTCTCTTTAACACCGTAGAAACAATCTGTTTTGTGCTAAATCATCGTTAGTTTGAAGCTAACGTTAGCCGCGCTGATAACGGTTAAAATAAATCAGTTAATGAACTTACCTGGGCCGCCATGACTCTCTGTCTCTCAGCTATCAGTTTACATTTGGGACACTGGCAGTCCCTCCAGTTGCAGAAGCGCTTGTGTCCCTTCAGAGGAGACACATAGCCGTGGTTTCTACAGCGGGAGCACTTTGGCATCCTCGGGGATTTGTGGCCTTTGGATGGGGACAGAGGTCCGGGGCACTCCGGCACCTGCTTGCTCTGCTTATCTTTGCTCATGGCTGCTGGAAATAAAGCAACAGCAGGAAAGGAGATCTGGTGGTCACTGCTGAACCTGCTCAGGGATCACAGTCAGATTTTAGCTACAATGTTTGAGTTTGTTTCTGCAGTTTCGGCTTTTTAAAGCCTGTACTGATGCAAGACTGGAGGCTATAAGGTCACCGTCTCTCCCCACCCCGCTGCTGTGACTGGTGGGAGGAAACCAACTGGAAGCGGGGGAGAGAGCTGGCAGGACAGTGGCATCACTCATGATGCACTCACTCTGTTCAATCTGTTCTTCACACTTAAATTATTTGTAAAATATAATTAATAAAGAGCCCATTGTTCCATGTCAGCTCCTGTCTGTGCAGCCTTACTCTACTGCAGAGGTGGAGGAAGTACTGAAGTTATAATACCACAGTGTAGAAGTACACTATAGCCTCCAAGTAAAGGCCCTGTATTCAAATATTAACTTGTGTAAAAGTACAAGTTGATGCATTAAAATATAGCCTACTTAAAGTAGCAATGTAAAAGTTCTTATTTTCCAGAATATTTCATAATTGATGCTACAATTTGTACATTACTTATGATGAGGAGATTTTATAACTACTTCATGTACTGCTGGGTAGGTGGATAAATACATAGATGGATGGATGGATGGATGGGCAGGCAGGTAGGTAGGTAGGTAAATAGTATATAATAGTATATAATAGCATATTGGATGTAACAACAACAATGTGACAACTGTAACAACAGTTTTTAATTTCTCCTTGCTATATGGGATCAGTAGGACCTGCTAAGTATAAAAACTTAAAAATTGTGAATGATAATTAAGTCCCAATGTTCTCAAACAAGACAATAATAAAGTCCCAGTGTACTCAAACAAGTACTTCCTAATTATCAGTGTCCTAACTTGTTACGGTTGCTAAAATGGGTCAAATTTGTTGCCATATCAAACTACAAACATTATTAAACATAAATAAACATGTTTCAACCATTAGATGTGATCAGGTTTTGGACCTTGTCCACTTTTGTGTCTGGATCGGCTGCAGACTGACTTGGCAGAGATGGCTGCCATCTTGTTTAAACATGGATTAGTGTATTGTGCACTTACTGCCACTAGATGGCACAAAAAGTGTCCATGAACGAGGACAACAGGTCTACGTTAAGTAAAATGAAGTGTAAGGTCGAGTAAACCCAAAATGTGATGTCCTCATATGAGGTCACAGGGTCTCAGGAGGATATATCCACTTTTTCCCCACTTCATTTTAGTGATCATCAGGTCTCTTCTGTAGTGCAGTTAACATCATATTATGCATGCATGTGCTTATCGTGATGGCCCACCAGCAGATGGAGACATGAAATACAATACTTTTCAATGCATGTAATATTCATTCATTGTGCAAATTATGAAAAAGCATGTTGCATGATTCTAAGTGATGTTCATTTTAAAGCCAATATCCACTGATACCAATGACATGCCGATTTTACGATGCATCACTTGTGAATAGACAGACAGATACAGTGGTGTAGTGGTAGTTAATGAGGTGAGGGTACTACTAGGTTTATGGGAAAGTTACGGAAGAGGAAGTGGGTGTATTCACCTATACATTCCATAAATCAGTTTGGCTGATAGGTGGGTATAATGTGTATACCCATATAGTGGGTATACCACATATACCTGTGTATACCCTGAGATAGATAGATAGATGCAATGTGTATCTATCTGAGTATCATCTTCAAATAATACCCTTGTATTTGAGTGTTTATTAGAGAAGCTGTTGTTTATATTTACATACAAAATGTAAAATGTGCGATCATACAGTGGCCTTCAGCCAGCAAGAAGACTTAGCTTTTAATGTTTCTTTAAATGTAACAAAGGACTCATCATCCTACAGTTCTTCTTAAAGAAATACTCAAGATACATATACCTACATAATTACTACATATCATCATACTAAGTAGAATATGATTTCAATTCTAAAAAGTTTGTTTGGGATCATTTACTTCCAGTTTTTACAGAATCAATTGGAGTAAGTAGAAACACAAACACTGCCTCTGATTATTTTTTTTATTTAATATAAATCAGATGATTGTGTGGCTACATATGAAACCTATTGTGCTGTACTCTGTGGCAGATATATCAAACTTAAATGAAGAGTACTTACTCATTTTTTCCTCTGCTCTTTTGTGAAATGTAGAATAATTTTACCTCTTCGAGCGCTTAATAGTTATTTAAACAAAACCATGTGAGACGGTCAGAGGAAAAATGTCGACAACTCATAAACACAACAAGAAAATGAAAATCTGAAATGTAACAAGGGGCCCCAACTACTGTGGGGGAGCCTATCCCAGCTGTCATTGGGTGAGAGGCAGGGTACACCCTGGACAGGTCACCAGACTATCACAGGGCTGACTCATAGAGACAAACAACCATTCACACTCACATTCACACCTACGGGCAATTTAGAGTCACCAATTAACCTGCATGTCTTTGGACTGTGGGAGGGAGCTGGAGTACCTGGAGGAAACCCATGCTGACATGGGGAGAACATGTAAACTCTGCACAGAAGGGCTCCCACACCTCTGGGTTTGAATCCCCCACCAAGGGTAAGAACCAAGAACCCTCTTGCTGTGAGGCGACAATGCTAACCACTGTACGACCGTGCCACCCAGACCTTTTTATAGTCAAGACAAAAAGTCCCTTTAGCTCAAGATGTGAGATCAATTTATCACAAAGAACCTTGCAGAGTGACATTCATTCATTCAGTGTTGAACTGTTTAATTAAAGTTAAAATGGCTGTAAACAAGTTAGAACAATTTTAGAAGACCACTCTCTGATAATTAAGTTAATTTGGCCTCAGTTCCTGTTGTCCTGCTTTTTTGGGTGGTCTGTAGTGATGTGTCCTCAGATGTTCATGTTGTACTAATAAATCTTTAAAGATCCTGTTAAATCTCATAGGACTTCCTTGGGAGTTTATGGAGCTCAATAACATTTCAGTGTATCCTCTCGACTCCAAAACCTAACTTTGATTTGATGTGTTTGACAGTACTGCAACACCGATGCTGATTACTTCCCCTAATTAAATATCACTATGCTTCTGCAGCTTGTATTTGTCAGTGGTATTCAATTTATAATAGCAGTTCCCCCAGGGCTTGTAATTATGCTGTAATATCTGAGTAACATCCAATATATTTATTGTAGCTCTTTTTTTTCATGATATGCTATGAGGAAAATTAATACTCTCTTATTAATTTCCTAGGCTTGACTGAGCTGAAACTGAATTAACCTCCACACTGGTCACTCAGTCAGCCAAGTGGATTTATAGGCAGGGAGTGAGGTGAGGTGAAACACAAAGGCACCCAATTAAAATCCCCGCAGCCAAATGGAGAGGGGATGAAAAGTTACCAATTAAAAAGCAGGCATTTACACAGCGCTGAATAAATAACTGCTACACTTCATTGGCTGTGTTGCTGAGTTTAATTGCCTCCATAGCATATGGTAATAATGATAGATTATAATTCAGTAATGAATATGTGATTTAACACATTTAACCTTTCTATTAGTTTAACAGGCTGCAGAGTGAACAGCAGCGAGGTCAGTGCACCAGATAAAAAGAAGAGCAGCTGATATTTAATGACATAGAGGAAAAACACGGAAATAGAAAAAAATGTTGCATTTTTTCTGCATGCACAGTGTGCTGTATCATGCAACCATGCAATTTCATTCATGCAATACTAGCTCACACCACCTTAGGGAGCCAGTGAGTTGGAAATCATCCCGTGGGTGGAGAGGACCACAGATCATGGCCTCACCACTGCAGAGGTGGACCAGTTTAACAATATGAAATATAACTTGTGTAAGGCTAATGAGTCTAATGATGAAGACATATTCAATGGTGATAAATGACAGTAGTGTGTATTATCAATGACAGATATAAGGCTAGTGGAGATGGTTGTGTTTCCTGCTCTGGGGAAAAAATAAGCAGTGATTTAATATCTCTAATGTCTTTTGGCTACTTTAAATATGCACAGTCAGGCCTGTGAAACATTAGTTTGTGTGTTTGTTAGTGCGTTTTGTTTATTTATTTAATTTGCTTTTATTATTATTTTTATTGCAATGCCAAAGCATTTTGTACTTTTTATTTTATCATCATTATTATTGTTATTATTATTATTATTATTATTATGTATTTTTATCATTTCTTATCAGCATTTTTATTTTATTTTATTTTATTTTATTTATTTATTTTTTATGAAAAAAAAAAAATAACCTGTTGTCTGACTAGATTTGGTGATTGATTTAAGAACTAAAAAAAAATCCGATTTTGCCCCATCAAATTGACCAGAGCGTATTAATACCATGATTAATACATCAAAATATTAATTGAACATCTGATTAAACACCATAAATTTACTACCTGTATTTGTCATCTAATATATATTACAAAACAAAAAAAAAAACAAAAAAACAAAAAAAAAAACACGATAACATACATCAAAATCTGATCCGCATTATTACCACATTTTTATCCCCTTGCAACTCGGTCTATACACGTCAAACCTTGACTTTTCGAAGAGTCCCTGAACGCCTCATTGCCTAGCAACAGCACAGTTTAGTTTCTCGGCTTCAGCCAACTTTCTGTGACACAATGCCCAAAAAGAAAGATAAGAAAAGCGGCGACAAACAAGATGAAGCCAAGAAAACGCAGAAAAAGGAAAGTCCTGCAGATAAAAGCGGGTCTGACGACAAAGAGAGGGATTTATATTTGACTCAAGTACGATATTTGACCGAGCAGCTGGAAAGGTGAGGCTGTTTTAACGTTACACGACAAAAAGCGCTTCTGTATTTAACTGGTCGGAAATAATTCATTTTAACTTAACATTGACGTGATGATAATGAGTGTGTGAGTAAATCCTTTGTCTTTCAGATAACTTAAGTTGGTGTTGTTCCTTTAACTTCGACTAAAAAAATCACTTCAGGGCAGTTGAAGTGAAGTTGCAGCATGCTATGTTAGCTTGTCATTTGTTAGCCATGTTTTCACTTTGAAATTAGGGACTGTTGTTTACTTATAAGAGGATCAGAAGAGGAGGTGGCTGGGGTGTGACTTTGTTTAATTTTTTATTTAGCTACTGTATTTTTCCTGGAGCCTCCCTGAGTGACTTGGGGGAAATGCACCACCTTCCCTCCACCATGAATTAGTTTGTTAGAATTTAAAAACTTTGGTGTTTTAAAGTTCACTATTAAATTATCACTATTTTAAGCTTTGTTTTGTCATGTTTTGGTTTTTTTTCTGAGTATTGTTCCCACAGAATAAGTTCAAGGACCATCAGAAATGTGATAATCCAGTGATAATTTCTGTTTTTACAGTTTCTGGCGATGATAAATGGGGTAATTTTGGTGATTTTTAAAGAAAATATGGGCATGGTTTCTTTAAAAATCATGCAAGGCATGTTTGCAGTAAAATAAAAACAAAATACAACCATTTAAAGTTGAATGCCCCTCCCTTATAGTGAGGTCATCTCCAGCAATTCCATGACTGTGGAAAGCGGAGGTTCGTTTCTCAGTGGATTTATCATCTACGAAGGTTAAAAAACAAATTTAGCCCCCATGCTCCTCGTGAAATTGCGGGCTAAATCTTTGAGAGCCCTAAAACCAAAATGGCTACCGTCGGCCATATTGGAAATGATCATGGCTTGGCCTACAATGCTGCGTGGTACATTTTTTCTTGGACTTTTTGGGTTGAGAAATTCATAATTGATGCCAAAATGCCAAAATGAAAAATTATAAGCCCCTCCCAAGTGCTTAAAAAATATTTGACTTGCTCCACCCCCTCCCTTCTCATAAATAAGGAATAGGCCCTTAGCTTCATTAAAAGTGTGTTTATGCTAGTGTTGCAGATATCTATCCAAAACACATAGTAATGTTATATTACCAGTTGTAAAAAGTAACTAAGCACATTTACTCAAGTACTTAAGACAATTTTGAGGAACTTTTACTTTACTTGAGTATTTTCATTTTATGCTAACATTACTTTATACTTCTGTTTCACTAACTTTACCTATTTAAAGGCAAATATTGCACGTTTTACTCCACTTTATTTAACAGCTTTAGTTAGCCTGCTGGTTACATTTCAGAATAAGATTTCAGCCTGCATCCAAACTTTTACTTCAGCAAAAGTACAAAAGTATTAGCATGGATACAGACATAAAATGTCTTAAGAACATTTCAGAATAATGTGTATTATATATCAAGGGATTGTAATTATTGATGTATTAATATGTACTTCACTTTAATACTGCAGCTGGTAAAGGTGGTGCTCATTTAACAACTTAATCTACTGGGTATCTTGTTTATTTCCCCGGGGGATCAAAAATGTAATATTAAGGTATTTAGTGATTATATTTTGTATTATTAATTTGAATCTGCTAAGTATGCTGAGTTATCAAATAAATGCAGTGTAGAAATAAGTACAAGATTTTCCTCTGAGTTGAAGTATAAAGTAGCAGAAAATGGAAATAGTCAAGTACCTCAAAACTGTACTAAAGTACATGTATTTAGTTATTTTTTACCACTGTAAGATTTATCTAGCATTTTGTCCTCCAGATATCAGCTAAAATGTGATCAACTAGAGAAGCAGCAGAAGGATTTCGACTCTCAGTACAGTTCACTGGAGAAAGAGAAGAAGGATATTGTTGAGTATCTGAAACGCTCCCTGCTGGAAAGGGAGGATGAGGTGAACGTGCTGACAGAGCAGCTGGAGAGTCAGCGGCAAGCTGCCGATAAGGACAGAGACGCCCTGCAGCTGCAGCACGATCAGCTGAGGCAAGAGCTTCAAGAGCAGATTGAGGAAGTCAACAAAGAAAACACGACACTTGGTGAGACTGAATATCGCTGTGGGTCGAGTTCTTACTGCCCCATGGAGATGGTTTGAGATGGTACATTTCTGTGGTTTGATGTTTTTTGATGGCTCCTATAGCACATGTAAACAATTCTTATACACACTGACATGATAATTCACTAGAAATCTGTATTTATAGACACCCATCACCCATTTTCCCATCTCAGTGGACCTGTAACATTAACACATTATATCTACAAACAATCATGCAGTATGGCAACGAACAAGATGTTGGGTTAAACAGTTCTGAAAAGTTTAGCAACATCTACTTGCAAATTAGATGCAGAAACCTCAGTGAGTGGTACCATTCAGGGTTTAACTCCTCTCCTCCTCCTCCAAGTGGCGAAGCTGGCTAGTCTGGAGGCGTTTCAGAAGCAGAAGGAGCAGCTGACGTCCAACATGGAGTCTCTGGAGAAGCAGCTGGTCAGTCAGGAGGAGGAACACAAAGCTGCCATCCACAGCCTGGAGATGAGAGCACTACTGGAAAAGAAGAGGTTGAGACAACTTATTTGCTGACACCATTACATCTGAAATAATAGCCTCTACTTACAACCCATCCTGGCTCTGAAAAATATTAAAAAATTAAAAATAAAGTGTAGTAAAAAGCTGGTATGTACGTGATAAAATATACAGTGGCTATATTATTCACCCGAAAGGTTGGAGATGGAGATGGAGAGCCACGTGGCGGCCATGGCAGCAGAGGTGCAGCACCTGGTGGACCAAAAGGTCCCGGAGACGACCAGGTTGGCCCTCCAGGAGAACACGGAGGTTAAGGCCCAGATCAACCAGCTGGCAGAGCAGACTCAGGTCCTGATGGAGGAGAACTCTGCGCTGCGCGGCCGGAGGACTCGGCTCAACGTGGATGTGGACATCCTGGAGCAGATGCTCAGCGAGATGTCCCGCAAGAGCTGCATCCGCAAGAAGGTTAGAAAGACGGATATCTACCTAGTCATTGTTTGCATCAAAACGGATCTAGAAGGTGTTGCAGTTTGATATCATGATATCTTCCCTCCATCAGGTGGTGGAGCAGCTTACAGAAAAGTGTCAGCAGCTGCAGGCGGAGCTGAAAGACCGGAGGCAAGAACTGGAGCAGCTTCAGACCAAACACACAGAAGTCCTGGCTGAGATGGAGACGCTCAGGTCAGAGTTTACTTTGTCTTCATTGTCCACCTACCACTGACTCTGATGCTTTACCCAAGGTCACACTCGTTTCAGTGTTAAAGAGCAATTCACAAAAATATAGACAGGGAACGGTCACAGATTTCCAAAATACAAGTTTCTGGACAAAACAAAACTGTTGCACACACGGTGAAAAGACAAGAACATGCACGAACACACTCTTAACTCAAAGGACTAATTGGTGTTAAACGGCTGCAGCTGACTGAAGCTCTGCCCGTTGAGATATCCAGCAGGTGACACTGGAACATAACCTGTAAAGTAGACACAGCAAGTGTCTTTAAAAAGTAGAAAGGTGATAGGCTAACTAAATGTTCCTTTATTTAACTTGTGTTAAGCACGCTTAAGTGTTGTGAAAGTACTTTTGTTGTACATTTGTTGAGTTGGTGAATTTGGCGGAGTGGGTGTTGGACCTGAACCTCCGAGAGGACAGAGGCTTCTACTAGAAGTAAACTTTTAATGACATCTTTAGGGAAATTGCACACAGCAGGTTCATACTGTACCTCTGCATGGTGAATACGGCATCACTGTCAGTGTTGTGTTTTCAGATGTGACCGGGCCTCGCTGTCCGAGCAGTACGGTAAAAACAGAACTGAGATGAGCCGTCTGGAGGCGAAGCTACAGGAGGAGAAGAGGAGGAATAGCAGGATGAAGAGCATCATGCAGGAGGCAGTCGTCACTCTGAGACAAGCCCTGATGGTAAAACAAAAAAAAAATCTCTGACCTTAAACATCAGGGCACACAAACATGTTCAAGTTAAGGTTGTTGCTGATATTGTTTCAATCATTAATTTTAGGACAAATTAGCCTAATTTTTGCGCTGATATGTTTCTGTGACAAACATGGTGGCTAACAAAAACACAAACACAGTTTTTTTCTTGGTCAAAAACTAAACTGTACTTCCTTTAACTAATAAACAAAGATCTATGTTTTTGTCATTGTTAGTCGTTTGTAACATAAAAATCAGAAGGTTAAACATTCTTAAGGTTAGGTAATTAGCTTAGCTGTCACTTTAAGTAACTAGAAATAAAACCTAGCTGACCCTCTGCAGGCATCAAGTAAAATAACTTACCCTAATTAACCCTTAGAGATCTGGAGCAACATCATTTTTCCTGTGCTGCTTTCAGGCGTCTTTCGGAAGTATTTAAACCTTTGAACCCTGAGCAGATTGGTGTGATTTTTTTCAATGAGTAAGTTAGTAAGAAATGTTCCATAAATTGCGAAAAAAAAAAAAAAAAGAAAGAAAAATACAAAGAACATAGAAATAGAAAAAAATAGATTTAGAAATTATTTTTTCTAAAAATAGGGAAAAAATAAAAATATAATGAAAATATATATATATTTATAATTATTAATATTGTTACATCTTAAAATTATGTTACGGAATTATTATAATTTTTAAGCACTCTTTTTAGGTAATTTTCTTGTTTGTTTGGTCTTAACTTTCTTTCTTTTTAAACTAATTTTCTTGCTAATTTTTGGGTCTTTTTTCTTTCGTTGCTCGTTGCCTTCTTCCCGTGTTTTTTTTTTTTTTTTTTAACAAGAAATCAAGTGAATTTGCTCAGGGTTCAAAGGGTCAATTACTCTAACTTTTGTTAATAATGTGATTACGCTGATCCAATCTACACAGCATGATCCTTACCATCAAACCAGCTGAATCTATACGCATTTCACTGCTGAGCTAATTGACTCTTGCTCACGTAAATGGAAGAACTGTAAGTGTAAGAAGATACTAAACCCAAATTACAATAGTCTGGAGAATCACAGACTCAAAGATACTTAAGTAGTAAATTACTGAGAGGAATCTCATGACACGTGAAATATCTCCAAAGATGAAGTTGTTGCTTGCAAATTTAAATTCTGTCATGTCACAGCATAGTTTAAGTTTTACACTGCTGTTAATTTTGTCACCTAATAATGCGACAAGACTGTTTCAGCCTCTTCGAAAAGTTTCGTGACTTCAGCCCGATATTGACTCTGCTCTCTGCAGAATGCTCCGACAGACCACGACTCAGAGGTGGGCTCTGTCGTCCAGTGGAAGCAGCTGATGGAGAAGCTGCTGGTGGTCTTGGACCGACCCTCACTCACTAACTCCACTGCTGAGAGCGACCAGGTGGATAAGCTGCAAACCTCTGACTCTGCAGCAGACAGGTAACTGGATAGTGTCTGTTGTGAGTGCTGACCACAATCTTTTTTAACATTTTTGACCTCAAGCACCACATTGTGACTACAGCATCCAACTACATATAGAAATAACCTATGACTTTAATGTGTTTGGTGGCATGTTTAAGTGTGTTTGTCTGGGAGAAGGGTTGATGATGTGATCACATGTTGCCACTGAGGCTAACTATCACAACAACACAGTTCTGTTCTAATGTGATCTTAAAAGACAAGATTCAGCTGAGTGAAGCCAAACTCCTGCTTTGTTACCATCAACATCGTCCGTGTATCTTTACAGAGAAGTAATCCTGAATCCAACCTCGAGTTTCCAGTTCGAGCTTGCGCGTTACAGGCTGGGTGATCTCGGCCTTGTACCCCGTCCCACAGTGAAACACACACTCTTGCGGACAGGAGCAGCTGGGTCCAGCAGCACCAACATGCTTCTACACAGGTTTGTTCAGACCTTGACATTACTATACCTAAAAAAATCACTGTCTTGCAGAAACGATACTTAACGACCTCAATCACCAGCTACCAGTTTAAATAAAGTTTCACACATTTTGCAAGAACATATATCACTTTAATTGTAGATGACTTTTTGTGTTGGAAATATCCTCTTTAATATAACTCTGCTGACTTATTAAACTTCTGTTGCTCTTTCCATCCCCTCAGGAAGCCATCCAGTCAGAAATCAGCCAGCTTCATCAACCAAACTGACTCAGCTGTCGGACTTTTCATCTCCAGAAACTCCTTCACTAAACCCAAATAACAGGAACAAAACAAATTTCATATTCAGGTTTTCTCCCTTGCAAAGTTCCCAAAATCATATTTATTTTGTTATAAATGTTTTTGTTTAAGTGCCACAAGTTAGAAATAATGATGAATACTGACATTTATTGTAGCAGTAGGTCAAGTAGAAAAGAGTGATGGAGGAGTCAGTGAACTGACTGTGTGTCCAACATGATAATCTGTATAAAGTTTGCTAACATAAGCCACTAGTTACAGGCAGCTGTGGATTTACCTGGCAGAATAAGGATGTGGCTGTAAAACTAGGCTTCAGAGTGTATTTAATGGATCAAGGGTTCATTTAAGTTGCATGAATTCAATTTTTCATTAATCAGTGAGCTATTTCTTCATTCAAGAAGTCACATTGTGTCACTTAAAAGTTCTAAGTTTCCAAATCTGCAGTGTCATGATTTCCACACAACTGTTCCTAGTATGTATGCTCCCGTATGAGCAGCCAACAGTAGTAGAAGTACTCAGATCTTTAAAGTAAAACTAGAAATACCACAGTGTAGAAATACTCTGTTACAAGTAAAAATCATGCATTCAAATTTTTACTTATGCAAAAGTACACAGTAGTCAGTACTCATTGTGCAGAATGGCCCATTTCAGAATAATAAATATAAATCATTGGATTATAATTATAGATGCATCCATGTATTTAATGCTGCAGCTGGTGAAGGTGGAGCTGATTTTAACTACTTTATGTACTGCTGGGTGGTTTGTGAATTCCCCCACCAATCATGGTTATACTGTAAAAATCTCATACCGTTGCAACCCTCTCTTTATCTATGCATTTATAATCTGAATCTGCAAACTAGCTAGTAACTAGGGTTGTGAAAAACATTGACTCACAGGAAAGGAGGGAAAGTTGAGCATATTTTATCTGTGCCTTTTGAATATAGATCAAATATTTGTTTCAGATCATTTTGCTTTGCTTTTATTTTTAATTTTTCTTTTGCTTCACATTTGTATTTTGAGCATTTAATATATCCGTCATGTCTCTGGGTGCAATATTAGGTTTTGTTTCGTTATGTGTTTTCTTGATTAATCATTGTTTCTGATAAACACTTGAGTTTTCTTCTTCAAGATGTGTTTGATTTTTTTCACTGTAGTTTTTGCATTCAGCACCGTTTTTTAGAGCATTTCACTAAATGTTCACTATTTTTATTTTGTCTTGTCTTTGCCTGGAAATAAAATATTTTTTGAGTGAAAAATATATGTATGTGCTGAACAGGTCCACAGAACCATGTAGAAACCCAGCACAGACTGAAAACGTGAGCTAAAACCTTAATTTATGTTTTCCAACAGGCTTTGGTAACACAAACACTTTCCTACTTTACTATAAGATCATAAAACTGAAAAATGTAATTCTCACTGCAGTTTTTATTTCCCTCAAATTCTGGGTGTCACGATATACTGTTATTGACATAACGGCTGCAGCTCAGAGGTAGAGCGGGTCGTCCACTCATCAGAAGATTGGCGGTTCGAGTCTGCATGTCCAAACATCCTTAGGCAAGATACTGAACCCCAAATTGCTCCCGATGGCTGTTCCATCAGTGTGTGCGTGTGTATGAATGGTTACTGAGTAGCAGGTGGCACCATGTATGGTAGCCTCGGCCACCAGCATGTGAATGTGTGTGAATGGAAGACTAGAAAGGCGCTATACAAGTGCAGTCCATTTACCATAACTGTGATATTTAAAAATGAAATATGTCATGTTCATAACACACGATTTTATCGTGTAAATAATCCAGCACCTCTTAAATCATTTACACTTATTTACGTTCTTGATTTGTCTCCCTCCCCCAACGCCACCTGGTTTTCTTTCCACTATCCATTAAGTGTAACTGCTGTTTTTGTACGATTTGTACAGTTACGGTTACAGACTCAATCTTTACCTCCCTACACATATTTTAAGTGTAATTAATTTGCCAAGAAAACGTATTATCAACAAAGTTACAGATTAATATGACAGATAGAATTACATTTTTAAAAAAAGAAAATCTGGTATAGATTTTGTGATGATATTGTTACTGTGAACTCTTGGCCACGATAATCGCCAGCCCGACCTTAAATGTGTCCAGTGTTCACCTGCCTAAGATTTGTGGGTCATCGATGAAGACAAGACACTGATGTATAATCTTTAATTGATGTTTATTGTTATATGGCGAAGTCTCAGGCACTTCAATTCTCATTGGAGGATGAAAGTCAGTACCTTGATGAACACTAGAGGAGGACAGACGGCTTATATTACACATGAGAGACCAACAGAAACAAAGTGGACACAAACAGGAGAATAACTAAACTCTAATGACCACCGTATGTACAATGAAATACATATATCTGCATTAAAAACTATACTTTGATAAATATATAACTTCATGGGTCGTGGTAAGTAGTAATAGGAAATATTCAAAATACTGTGATTCTTCTTTTTAAATAGATACAAAGGATTTGTATAAAAGTACAATTTTCTCCAGTCTAGGTCGCGTCTACTCGTTGATGCGTTCATCCGCGTGAGTTGTACGTGTACTGCAGAGACCTGGGCGCACGTGTGTGAGGCTGGGATGTTGAGGCGAGCAATATATACAGGAAATACTTCCTCTAACAGGTGGGTGGATTATTCTCCATCTGTCTACTCCAAAAAAAAAAAAAAAAAAAA